TCTGAAGGCCGTCTGTCAAAATCAGATAATTTCTTATTCTGTCTACACTAGCCAAACAATGAAAATCTAATCAAGAAGCACGAATTAACTCTACAGTATATTGGTTGTCGATCGTGACTATTTAGTAGCCACCACACAAGAATAATATACTGTAAGGAATAATTACCACTACTGATTCTGTTTGATCTTTTTTCCACAAATAAGTTTGAAAGACTGTTACTTCACCTGCATATTGCTCTGTATGAATAAGGAGATCCAGCAAACAGATTCCTTTGTCATCAGAACAGATGAAAGGCAGCCCGCTGTTTCAAAACTCAAGTGTGCTGCTCCTCCAGGAACCTTACAATTAATCTGAGATAGCTAACGAGTTAGCTTCCTTTTCTGTCAGGCTGAATGCTTCACCCCCTGCAGATAATTCACATTTGCATGTGTTTTTTAAGTATCTTGATTTTACAACAGTCAACAGTCAAGAGCTACAGTAAAACAACCCAATAGTTGGGTGAATTCTTCCCGCCATTAGTTCAATAAAAATAGGAAGGCACTAGTTAAATATAAATTTTCTTCAATATTCAATATTCTTGCTCCTATACCATACTCCTTTCGGCTTAAGAGGAATCCAATCAACATGGCCCCCTCTCCATGGCTAGGCACCATTTTATTGTTACTGAAGTAAAGGGGGACCATACTAAGTGTATACTCTTCTTATTGTTCAATCTCTCCTCACCTCTTCTTTATACAATTCAGTCATCCTTGACCTTTGCTGATCTTGCAGCCTGTAAAGGCTTTTGATAGAATCCATTTGGATTATTTATTGTTTGAATGTTTGAAATTTGGTGATACAGTACATTTTATTCCTTTCGTAAATCGCTTTCAAATCACTTATTTTTACAAACACAACAGGATCAGATTAGTCCCGAAATATACATCAGGGACCCACTGTTCCTCAGGGGAGTAATCTGCAAAGGTGAGAAGTGGAGGGTTAGGAGTTTGGTTATTTCTCTGAGAATAAAGTACATTTACAAGTATCAGTATAAAATACATTTCTAAACAAGGGCGGAGTGGTGGCTCTGTGGCTAAGGATCTGTGCCTGTGACTGGAAGGTTGCTGGTTCAAATCCTGTGGCTGGCAGAGGAATCCTACTCTGTTGGGCCCCTGAGCAAGGCCCTTAACCCCAACTGCTCCAGGGGCACTGTGCAATGGCAGACCCTGTGCTCTGACCCCAAGCTTCTCCCTGTCTGTGTCTCCATAGAGAAAAGCTGGGGTATGCCAAAAGATGAATTCCTAATGCAAGAAATTGTATAGGGCTAATAAAGAATTATTATTATTATTAATGTTTTTAAATTAAGAGTGCTGCAAGAAAGATACTACCCTGAGCACTCCGCTTTGATTAAGCTTAAGCTTAAAATATTTGAATATTAAAATAACTACAGTAGTTCTCTTTCTTCCTTTTTTTCAAAGGAATCTGAACTCTTCTTCTTTTGATCAACTAATCATCGTCTCTTTCATCTGACAGAACAAAGTCTCACATACCTCAAAATTATTCCTTCTTCAAAAAAGGAAATCAGATTTTAATTTAGCTTTCTCTAATTTTATGATTTTTGCACTGCTACTATTCAGAAAATCTCTGTTTCAGCTTCAAAATCATTAAACTGTCTGGGTTGAAACAAGTCTCTACCTGCCTTAGTTTGTTAAAATACATTCAATAATGCTGATGTATTACTTACTGTATGTCTGGCAAAAGCCTTGTAAATATGAAGAGAATAAAAAGACAAGACAAGCCATTCAATTGTTAAGGAAAGAAAATATAGGCTTACTTAAATATAGTAATCCCACATCTTTATGTATGTGTTTGAATTGATCATATGTTTAATACTATCTAACTTCAGTAGTGTTTCCAACATAGACAAATATTACAATCGTCACTTTCAACTATGCAAGTATAGGAAATAAAATACTCCTGTATCAGACAACAATCCAGAACTGATTATTCACCTTCGCACATTAAAGCAGTAGAACAGTCCAAATCTGCTAATGCAGTAATAGGAAGTGGATTAAATTAAAAGGAAGGAATAAATAATACAGTTTCAGCACAGAAAATCAGTAAACGTTCACTCAATATTTTCTCTTCTACAGTAGCTTTTCAGTGGTTTACACCACTTTAATCTGATCAAAGCAAGTCAATCAGACCATAAATAACACATTGATTTATTCAGAGGGAATTATGTTTCCAATACTGTAAAAGTTGTCTTTTTTCAAGGAAAACTGTTGGATAAGAAAAAAACACGTCTATGAAAGAAAATGCACTGTAGAAACGTTTGAATTAAATGGAAGCTTCCTTTTTTTTTATGCACCGCACTGAAAGTGAGTTCAACCAAAACTGTAGTTCAATATTATCTGTATGGGCACATTGAGATTGAAGCTTAGCATTATGTTCCCATTCACCTTTTACTAGGACTGGGTTTTAAAATGTCTCTTTCACAATGTACGGTACACTCTCGACAAGTACTGTATATGCCACATTAAAACAGCAGCGATCTCAGCTTCCATTAAAATATATGCAAACAACTGCAAAGTGTATAAATACAGTGCTTGATAATGACAAGGTATTACAACCATTTTACTTTAGAAAACACTTTCAAACATAATCGTCTGTTCTCTAATGCCCATTTTCTCAACTCAATACAAAGGAAATGTAAGATTACTAATCATCAAAACCATTATCACCTTTTTAAGACATTACATTGCTTGCTTGCACCTTCCCCATGATCATTTTTTATTATAACATCCTGGTTTGGAAAGGCACTACTCTCAAGCCTCAGATACTGTACATCAAGCTTATGAAATATGGTTTCATCAAGTACCTTAGGAAGCAAGGACATACTTTTTGTTTCTCATTTTGCTTAACACACATACACCTTTCATTTTCTGTAAATATTCTAAAAGTCAAGGGAATAGTAACTTGCCATGGGTAAATCAACCGGCAGAACTAATGTGCCACAGAGCTCGGTTTTCTGCAATATGACCCTTTGTCAATTTCTATTTTACCCCCAGGAACAATAATTTTCCACCATAAACCTTATCTCCAAACCAATATGTGAGGAGCATATTGTTTTTCTTCACTCATGGGCACAAAACAAGGTAACAGTAAAGATTAATTCTGTACTGGAATATGTATTTTTACTGCTAATGACACACCTGAAGGGACTGTTTTTTTTCTTGGTTTAGATATTTAGTGATTATTTTGTTATTTACAAAATGTATTACGTGAGAGAGGTACTGTAAGTGGTAGCTTTTGTTTTAATATGCATATGGCTTCACAGCCGAAACGTTGTGTTTTCTCTCTTCTCTTTTCAGCATGGAATAAACCTATTACTTGTTCCTAAGTAAATAAAGAACAAATGTGTTGTTTTAATTTCCTACCCTTTCAATAAAAAATTAAATTCAAGGATATATACATGTAGTGTATACATACATGCTGCCTCAATTACAGTTGAAGACGTGGATTTTGTTTGTTTACATAAGCACACAAGAAAGTGTACAAATGAGAGTAAGTAGTTCAGTCTAAGTTGTTTATTAGTAGCTAAGTGCTCTGAAAGCAAGATGAGTGTCAGCATAGACAGTGGAGCTAGGCTGTTTGTTCCATATTCCCATAAACCTTTGTGTGAAAAACACAGCCTTAAAGGCACTTCCCCATAGTTTCCACTTGTGTGCTCTGCTTTGTGTGTCAGTGTTTGTTCTGAAGAAGTCAAGTGGGTTTACTTCTTCAGTGCCCTTGAGGATTTTGAAAACTCGAATTAAAAACTTCTGCTGTGTTCCAGAATAAAAGGGCATGACTGTTTTATCCTGGCATATTACAATATTCCTTAAAACTCAGGTATCTGGCTAGGCTTTTAACTGATTCCAGGAATATGTTTTTTTGTATTGTGGAATCCAAAATTATTCTAATACATTATTCTAAATGAGTTCTTACTAGTACATTACAGAATTTTAAAAGATCTTCCATTGATTGAAATTCTGCATTTTTTAATTCAGTTCCTGAGGTGCTATCTGGGTGGAATTTGTATGTTCGCTGCGTTGTGATGCCACAGGGGTAGTAACCACCACCCTTGGCATGAAAAGGAGTGTTCCTTACTCCAGACATGCCCCTCATAACCTTCTCGGGTTACTCAAACTCGCTCACGCCACTGACCTCCGGGGGTCTCTCCTATCGTCGGACCCTTAGCTCTTGGTTTCCCAGGCTTGACAAGCTTCACCCTCAACACCGATGACACTCTTCTCTCTCTCCAGGAGCCTCACTCTTTTCACACTCATCTCGGAGCCTCCTGCTACCTGATGACACACAACTTCCAGGGTGATGGGCCCTTAGACTTCCAAGGCCCGCTTCCAGTTGCTGACATCCTCCTCTGATGTTACCAGGAAAAAGCACAATCTCCAGCGCTTCACTGTCATGCTGAGACTCCTCGCACTAACAGCACAGAGTCTCTCTAGAAGCACATCCCACGTCATGCCGAAACTCAACACACTTTTCCTACACACTTCCACAGCCTTAGGCTGTGCCCTTCCCTCATGCTCAGCCACCACTGCCCTCTCACCCCCCATGCAGTATCGGTGGCTCCCTCACTTTGTTGCCACCTCATGCTCACCACCTGAGGTGTGCAGTTAAACAGACCCTACTCTCTCCCATGCTACGCTGTATCGGCTGGGGGAGAGCCCCTCTACCACTCTGCACTCTCTAGCACTCTCAAACACTCTAACACTGGACTCACACACACTCACAAATTCTCTCTCTCACACAGCGGACTTACGGACAGCAATGTTCTCACACACCATAACCATCCCTTGAAATCTTTAACTTTAACCAGAAGCCCGATGATTGTTAGCAGTTCAACAAGACAGCCCATCCCCACTGTACAGTATATATGTTGCTTGCAAACACAAAGTAGGGCCATGGTTGTGTTTTCTTCCATGTAACAGTTTTATACTTGTATCTTCAGACTCACCACATCAATAATCTGCAGCAAAGTCATCCCAAGTTCCACGAGCAGCGGCTGGGAGTCATTGAGAACGGGCCTTTCCAGGCGGTTGTAGTTCTCCAGCAGTTCTTTGTACAATTTCCTTTGGTATTCGCCCTGATGGGATTCTGCATGACAATAAACAATAAAACAGAAGGAATGACAAATCTTCAGGGGAAATACATACAGCATACATCGTCAGCCACTGTATCATCAGTCAGTTGTACTATATCTACAGTGCCCTCTAAATGTATTGGAATTGCAAAGTCAAAACTATTATTTTTGCTTTACAGTTCATGTGTATACAGTACATTTTATAATAAGTACAATAGAACATACAGTTTATTTATGGGTAATTCAATGTATGTATTTGATCACGTTTGAACAAAAACATTGTATTTAACACTGTGATTTCAAATTACTGGGACACATTTGCATTAAGTCAATTTCAGAGTGTAAAAGTCTGTTTTGGTAGCGTATTCCTTTGAGGCAATAACTGCATGATGTCGATGACCCAAATTCATTGTGTATTCCTTCAAGATGCTTTTCTGCTGCCACTTTGAGTTCTTTTCTATTCTATTGATGCTCTGAGTTCAATTTTTTTCTTCAGCGTGTAAAATACTTGCTGGTCTGGATTTAAATTTAAAGATTAACTCACTCAGTATAAGGTATTCTGCTTTTACTGATGCACTCCACATTTGCAATGATTTGCAATGAGAAAGGCATCGTGTCTGTGATTGTTTTTAACGTAATGTAACCTAGCGTGGATCGCAGCAGATATAAAATCTATTATTGGGGAATCTGGATGGTTGTTAGACCTACTGTGATTAGCTTTAGGTTACATTTAGAAATAAATAAGGTGACAAATGGAGTAGAGGAGGCCTTTCCACCCATATTATATGCAGTAGTTGATTCAGTTTCGAGTGTCTAAGTAATCTGAAGATCTCATCTCACCATTCCTTGAAAGAAGCCAGGGTATCACCTTCGACAGTATGGTGATGTAGCTTGTTCCATAATTCCACAGTAATCGCATAATTGTAAAAAAGAGTCTCTTGATCTCAGGTCTCGTTTCCTCCCTTTCCTCCATAGTTTCCTATATCACTTTTCTTAAGAAATCCACTGAGATAACCTTGCCGTGACCTTTGAAAGTTCTAAGTATTTGCGTCAGATCCCCTCAGTCTTTTCTGTTCAAGACGAGGACATTTAAGTGACTTTGGCTTGTTAGACCAATATATTCCTTTAAGCCTTTGAAAGTACCTGGTAGCTCCTCTCTAGTTTTAATTCCATACTTGGTAACCACATTTGTACACATTATTTTAAATAGGGTCTTAGGAGTGCATTTTACAATTTTGACGTAACATTCATTTGGCATACTGTAAATTTTACCTATGTCGTTTAAACTCTTTGTTCTCACATTCTTTTTTATGACTTTTTTTTAAAAATGAAGAAGTCAAAATAGAATAGAAGGCAAAAGAAGTAAATATCTCCGAAATTGTTTGACATATTTAAAAAGCAAATTTCACAATGAATTGACCATAACAGATTCTATTTTTATTACAGTACAGTACATAATACTGTGTAATGTAATATGTAATACTCTTCTTTATGATGGTTTAAAACTTTTTTATATGATTTTTTATGAATTTCATCACCTATTGCAGCTTGCAAGTTGATTCAGAGGACTAGTGAGACCGGAAAATTAATGAAAGACGCATTAATTTTCATAGAATTATGGAGAAGATGGAACACACAATGTTTTACGCCATTTTAAAAACAAACCGGGGTGGGCAAAGTGTGTCTGCAGAGTTTCATTCCAATTCATCTCTTAACAAGCCAAATCAACTTTCTATTGTTTGAATGGGACCAATGTAACCATTTCTCCCAGCTCCCGAGGTGCTTTGAGAAGACCTTGAAAACCTCAGCCACACATGTGCTCCAGGACCAGGACTGCGTATCCCTAATGTAATTGATGGGTAGGAGTCCCACTACATTGATTTATGAAGGCAAGGAGATTTTTGAAAGTGTATACAATCACAATCTTCTTAAACTCAATATGAGGCATGTTCATGTTGCTGTTATCTTGTGTATCCTGGATTTCTATGTCTGCAATGGCAGTGTTTTAACCTGCTATAACCACCCGGTGCTTATTGTATATCTGAATGCCTGAAATAAAGTAGCTTGTTAAGAATTCCTTTCAGATACAGGGTATGTCGGTTCAGACACAGCACTAAAGGCTGTAAAAGCTGAAGTGTGTATTTCTATAGTGCTTTTATTAGCCGGTAGACTTTCTAATGTTTCCAAAGGGGGAAATGTCCAGAACATTTTAACAAAGCTTTTACATTTCATATTTAAAAATACAATAAATATTTGATATTCGTGGCTCTGCACATTAAAATCTCTTGCAGCAGAGAAAATTAAAAACTCCCTTAATTACATTTTAATGTTAATAGTTTTATTGCATTCATTTTTGTCTTGAAGATTCATTAATGTTCTACATTTCTGTACAATTTCCTTTAATTGGTCACTGTTCATATTTAATGCCTGTGCAAATAGGAACTCTTGCATATCAGTTGGAAGACCACAGGTGTTCCTTTTTCTTTTTTATGGTTTGAGAAATTTTCTTCTCTACTTATTTACAGTTCCCTTTAGGCTACTGCAGGTTTAACCTGAACAGAATCTCGATTTGCTCAGAGCAAAACTTTGAAAATGAGCAGCTATCCTAATGAAGCATTAGCAACCCTGCGATGACATGATGAGACTTGAGGCAGCATTCATAATCCATTTTTTAGATTTCAAGCTTTTTTGAATGCTCACAAATCATTTTTCCCCTTCTTCTTTATTTCCCTATGTGCCGTAAAATGCATCAGGTACATCTAAATTAGGAGGGAACAGAGAAAATCCATTCTTTTGCTGTCAGGTCAATGAAGGGAATAATGTGAAATATGATTGGGTGGCTGAGGCCCACTTTGGAATGAATCTATGCTCTGACCTGTCTTGCTAATTGAAATGTCTTTGGGGAAACACCTGCTCTGAAATAAAGCTGCATATTTCCCCTGTAACTTGACAACTATATTTCAGTTTGTTTTTTCCATTACAATGTCAAAGCTGTAGTGAATGTTCGACAGCTTGTATTTACATTACCATTTAACGCTTCTCATAATAATGATCCATAGTAATGATTGAAAACTACTGAAACGAAAATGACTGATAACTCGTTGCATTATTCCTTGCGACAATAATTCCAACACTTTTTTTTATCCCAAGGAATTCTAAAGCCAATTCAATTCATCCATTGATGAGCCTCCTACATTTTTAGTTAGCCTGTGGTTTCATGCAATGTACTTTATTTTCATGAATAAAGCAAAACAATTGTTTGTTTGTTTCTTTTTAATTGATTTTATTCTGCTGTTAATTATTTAATAATTAAAATAATAATAATTAAATTATTTTAATCTGCTGTTGCGGAGTACAGTGAAAGCAGGTAAAGTGAGCTACAATGTTATGATTGCAACCACAATTCTTGAAGGCTATGCTGTATTATTATTTTTTTAGACCAGAATATTGCCTATTGGTTGTATCACAAGAAGTCAGAAACTGAAATAAGGGTAGTTTGCTGGTCACTATGAAGCTTTTCACAGCTATCAAGTGGATGATGCTACTAATACGATAAAAAATAAATACACTGCAGCTTTAGTAGTGCTGTGCCCTATTTCTAGTAGCCTGCCAGTAAGTGGAGGGATATTAAAGAAGATTTAGCACAAGGGTGGTTATTTCTGCGCAACAGGTAAACAGCAGTTGTGACTCTTCAGAAAGCGGATTCTCAGTTAGACTGGAGCCTCAGAAATTGGTTCATAGAAAAGATTCAGCATTCCTGGTCACATGGAATGAAACTGGTTTTTATTTTTCATCAAGGCAATCTGCCTTGTCACTGCAAACAAACAGAAGAGAATGAATCCCCTGAGATCTTAAAAGATAGTTGCTGGTGTCCGTATGAAAAGCCCTGTGGAAGTGGCTCATCACTGTTTTTACTGGGTTTACTTCAGAGGGCCATCCCTCCCAAATGAACATGACTATAGATGTCTCCTCATATTAACGTTTGGTCTGGAAAACTCAAAAGGTCATGAATTTGATATAATGCATCCCATAGAAATCAAATGGAGAGCACAACAAGCATGGTTTTATTGTTGACTTATCCAGTTCATATAATTTTATAACAGCCGTAGCAATGACCACCTATGATTAACATTCCAGTACCTCACCTACTTTATCATCCTTCACAAAAGCAAATATAGCTCCTCTATACACTGTCAATTCTTTTTTTTTTACTTGAATAATCTTTACAGGTTTAACAAACAAGTCATTTTATTTCCCATAGCAACCCTAATGAAAAAGAACATTACTAAGGATACTACAGCTCGAAGCTTTGTGAAAGACAAAACTGCATAGTGTACCAACAATTTTTAAAAAAATCTGTTCTCAATTACATACAAAGGCCCCTTCTGGACTACAGGAGGGTGACCTTGTTATAATCTGAAGGACACACCTGAGGCCTGAAGAGTTTATTTTCCTTTCATAGTTACATTACCAGGATGCACAATCTTCTCTGCTTATTGTCATGTGTAACTGAAAAAAAGTGTAATTGTCAACACTGTTGTGATATATCCAATAATAAGTCATACAAATAAGCCTGGAACAGCAAGGAACAAAAGTTTCTACTTTGGTAACGTCTTTAAAAGTTTCCAAATTACTCTCAGGGGAGCAAAATGTGTGCATGGCATGAGAGCATCAATTGGAACCAAGACATTTCTACTTGTAAAGTGGGATTTCTGAAATCTGGGATATCTGCATTTGTGTGTAATGCCTATAGCTGGCTGATTGAAAATAACGAGGCTTTCAGTAGCAGTGGGCGTATTAGTGACACCCCATTAAACTTCAAAGAATGGTAAGACCTTGCTTCTTAACCCTCATAGTTGTTCCATAAAGAATTGACATTTTAGCTAGTTGTTTGGAGTTTAATGTTTTGAATCTATAACTAAATCCCTTTCATTTAAAAATGAAAGTGATTACAAAGGATATACAGTATGTGAAAAACTGTCTCTCAGTAACTGCAAAGGGAATATACAGTATA